AATCAATTATATTTAATTAAGGAATTACCATCTAAGTTTAAAAACAGCGTATCGTAACAGCAATTAAATTATTGGTGCCGTATCTTTCATGTTACTCCCGATTGGCAAGTTATATGATTTTAATGAGTATTCGGGTTTTGCTAGTAACTTAACTTGGAAATCGCACTTAAACTAGGTTAGTTGGTTATTTGAACATAGAAAGAACATGGGAGCTATTTGGTTAACATGCTTTCATAGAGAACCCTTGTAAAGGTTTGGTTTGGTTTACTTAATTATGGCAAAGCACACTAGGGCTATCTGACTAAGGGGAGGGATGCCTTCGTGGAGGACTTTCTAAGGGAAACTGGCTCTTATACACGTTACACATGGGGAAAACCACGAAAACGCCCATGCAGCCAGCCCATTCGCAGGATTCAAACCTCGAACCAAACTACCAGTGTTTAGCGATTTTACTGCTCTTAAACTGTCACACCATGGGATGGTCTTTATACAGTCACAGTTCAGATCAGTAGGAAATACAGTTCTAAGCCTCAAGTCGTTCATTATCCCTTTGGCTATAGTATATAGTCCCCATAGTGCACATAATGTAAGTAGAGCATAAGTTTACTGACATATTTGTATGTAAATTTGCAAATTTTTGTATTTAGTTATTGCTTTAGCAACTGATTTGCCTGTCTAATGTAACATAAAAATCTATAGGAAGAATGCTCTGCTGGAAAAGTACGAATACAGGGACAATAAAGTTTATTTAACAATGAGTAAATGGCTATCCTACTAATGTGGAAAGATATCACCAAGTTAGCAACAGTTTCGGCGACTAACTTTTGTCACCAACTTTGGCAGGAAATCGCCAAAAGTTGCCAACTTTGGCGACATTTTGTTTTGGTTCCTGAATAACTGTAATTGATCCTCTAGGTAAGTCACCAACATTGGCGACGTTTTGGTTCGGTCCCTGAATAACTGTAATTGATCCTCTAGGTAGCTGTAACTGTAATTCGCTGCAAATATGCCTTCCAGTAATTTTGACAAACAGAAAGTACTAGAAATATCTCGGAGGTCGGGTGAAAACTATATTAAACCAGAAAAAGCATCTGTCCTCAGCTGTCAGTTCAGCATGAGTTTGGAGTACTGAGATATCTCCGAGTCAACTTCACTCTTTAAATGTGCTTTGCATTGCATTCTGTTAAACGTTCTTAGTAGTTCCGAGTGTAACTACTAATTGTACTCTGTGATACTGTGAAGATTTGCAAGAGCACATTTCTGTGAAAAGTTCTAGAACTCTGAAGTGTTTCTTTTGGTAAAATAAATTTTATCAACCAATCATCGGACCTGTGTGCATTCAATTTATTATGAACCAACACTATTTTACATGACAGCAAGTAAAACTATGTTAATACAGTTAAATCATATTCAAGTCTGAATATTCAAGATTCAAAAACATTTTGTGGAGAACCAGATAAAAGCTGAAATTTTGCTATCATTCAATCTATTAAGACCCTGTACACGCACAACAATATTTTACGACAGCAAGTAAAAATATGTTAATACAGTTAAATCATACTCAAGATTCAAAACATTTTGTGGTGAACCATATAAAAGCTGAAATTTTGTTATCATTCAATCTATTACTATCCTGTACACACGCAACAATATTTTGCATGACACTAAGAATATGTGAACATAAAGAAGTCATATTCAAGTCTGAATATCAAGGTTCAAAAACATTTTGTGGAGAGCCATATGAAAGCTGAAAATTTGTATATTCTTACTGAAAATTCTCGTATGACTAAAATTATCATAGACAGCATATGCTTTATTTGATTTATATTTCAAGCCACTCCTCTATGATCATTCAAGATAAATTCAATCATGATCACCTTTTTTTTATTGCAATCTATATACTATTAAATTTTCCCAAATGTGTTGTGATATTTAAAAAAATGTAAACGAGTACTGATCTTATGTATATATGTGAATCATCAAATTATAAAATACTACAATAAAAGCTAAACTAACAAGTAAAGTTCAGGAAATGTTTAATGCCAGATAAGTGAAAATTGCATATAGTTGAGCCAAATGAAAGAAAGAATAAATTTCTGGTGTGAAATTATAAAAACACAGTATCTTATATACAATCAGCTGCAGTACGTATACAATCACCTTATACACAATCAGCTTCAGTATATACAATCAGCACAGTATATTATATCCAAGCAGAATATCTTATATACAACCAGCTTGAACTTTAAAAGTCTACACTTAATATTATATAAAATTTTGAAGGGAAAAAGTGTGTTTCAGACATGAACCCCATCTTATTTTTGTAAATATGAAATTTACAGTAACGTATGAAAGTAAAACATGTTATCTAATTATGAAATCCTGTTGACAATGAAAATTGCTATAGGTCCTGCCAAACTTGCACAAATAATTTTGGCAGAAGTATGAAAGAATCGGTCATTCTTCATTTAGTTACATAATCAAGAAATACAAATTGCAGATATAGCATATAAAAACACTTAAATTGCTTGTCATAATTCTTCACACCGCATTGCCATTTTTTATCCATTTTCAAATAAAGTCACATGTACCCATTAAAGTACACTTTTCATGATGCCAGAATCCCATAATTACTTCAGTGCAGAACTCTTCAAGGCAGGTCTTAAATTTTAATATTTTTTTGAAAATGTGAAATAAAACAGATAAATAGCAAATACCTTAAATTCTTCTTCACTAAAATTAAACTGGCTTGTCAAGAATTAATCAGGTTTACATACAACCAAAACGATGACATTATCACTGCGTTGTGACATCCTATTTATCCAATACTAAATCATACTGTTTGGTGATGCATTTTGTTTGTTCTTTAATAGACTTACATTTGCTTTATAATGGCTTAGTGTTTAATTTTTCTGTATATTAATCTCGATCACTTGCATATATGCATTTAAATTACTTCTGACAGAAAACAGCAAAATAATTTTGTAGTGATATTTCAGATTTAATAATTTTCCCAAATGTGTTGTGATATTTAAAAAAATGTAAATGAGTACTGATCTTATGTATATATGTGAATCACCAAATTATAAAATACTACAATAAAAGCTCAACTAATGTATCAACTCAGAATGTATATGGAAATCAAATTAGTAATCAAGTGTCATGTGGAAAAAGTTAATCAAATACTAATACTGAAAATTATTTCATTAAGAGATTCATGAATCTGATTCAGTATATATATTTAAAATAAAACTGAACTAGTACTGATCTTAACATTCTTAGCAGAATTTATAACTCTTTCACATGAAAGATGATGAATGTATTCTAATTGTGATTATATTATGAGCGAAGAAGTTTCAAAACATTTACCTGGTTCTCAGATATATTTGTTGTTAAATATACACTGTTGTGACCTTTAATTATTAAATTCATATGCAAAAAACGTAAGACCTGTATTAAACTTTTCAGTTTTTTTAAAAATCACAATGCTCAAGAAAATGAAACGCGGTGTTATTATAAACCATCCTATTCACAAATATCGAAAAGCTTAAATTAGTAGATTATGAAAACAAAATTCAGCAGATCATTGTTTTTCAAAACCATACTGAAGATAAGAAAAAGGGTCTTTTAAAACACAACTGCAAACATGTGCACACTCTGGAACATAAAAAGAATAGACATAAAAAACATAAAAGTTTTTTGTAAGATGATTTTCTTCAAAAGTTAAATAAGTCTGAAATAGGGCAGCAATCAAAATGAATGCATGCACAGCAATGGAAAGCTACCTTAAACTGTGAATGCACCAACCATTATCACTCATCATTTTTCAATTTAGGTGTGTTTTTCATATAAAATTTTGATTCAAGAATATACCATTAAACCAAGGTTGGGCAATACTTGATGATCTTTTGCAGATCTATTATTTATAGGATGCAATGGAATGGGAAGGGAAACATTGCCAACATTTCTTTTAGAAATTACAATTAAAAAGTAACATTAAAAAATTTACAAATATGCCAAAAATAAGATCTGTTCTTATTGGTCATCAAGTGTATACTATTTCATCTTCAAATAAAAATTTAGAGATGAAATGTTTTCCCTCTAAGCTAATTTTTTTATCAGCCTTTTTAAAAATATTCATATGTCATTGTTTAGTTTCTAAATTAATTTAAGCTGTTAAAAATGACATGACTATATTCTTCAGCAGATGCACCTGCTTTCTAGCATATCTAATGTTTTCAGCTTAGGTTGATTGTTAATATAATCTTGCATACATATGCACATATACACTATAACTATAGATGAAAACTCCTACTGCTAATATTGGTATTTTTGATTTTTGTACAAAATAGGGTAAGAAAGAGATTAAAATATTATCAATTAGGATTTCATTATGGACCAGATTAAGCAATTAGAAGGGTCCCATTTGGCCCATAGGCTGACTTCTACCCACCTTGGCTTTAAAATATGAAATAAGGAAAAGGGAATCCATAGTAAAAGACAGTTAAAATACTTTCAAGATAAAGTTACAATTCAGGGCTGCAATAATGAACAGAACATATCCTTAAGCAGCATGCACTATTTCAGGCTATATTTTGTGCCAACATTTATTTTTGAGAATGATTTAAAAGGGTTATGCTTTCTCATAACATGAATTTTTCAGAGGGAGATAAGCAAAACAGAACATTTCAGAAGTCAATATTCCACCAATCATAAATATATTCTCACTATCTGAAATTTAAATTCATTACTTGTACAAATTACAAAGTAATATGAAAAAGTGAATGTTACTATCTGTATCATAGAAGGTTGTCACTCTGCAAATTATTTCATAACACTTTCATGACTGAAGACTGATTTTCAAAGAAGTCTTAAACTTAAATATTTTAACAAAAACATATGCTAACAAAATGAAACATATAATTTACGTGTTTCTAAATGTATGTACAATTAAGGTTTTTTTTTACATTTAAAGGTACAGTTAAAAAAATCATAATTACCTCATATGAAAATACATTTCCAGTTGTTCTTATTGCCACAATGTGTGAATTCTCATTGAAAACTTTGAACAAAACAGGGCAGTGATAAAATCCATCTGAATTTTTGGTAAAATTCAGTTTCAGCAAAGATTTTGAATCTAAAGGCTAAAAGAGAAAACTTTGCAAACTATTATACAAACACACATGATTATAATTTAATTACACATTTAAATTTATTTAAAAAGCACGATAAACTATTCTCTGGTAAAAACTATTATCATCTATAAATCGTACCTTCTGGTAAAAGACTTGAATTAGATAAACTAGCTTTTCTTTTATTACATTACACATAAAGTTAGATGAAATGAATACTGAAATATGGGAAAAAAACTAAAAATGAAAACACCAACCAAAATATTTTGCTTTATCTCAGTTGTTACCTTTAAAGTAAAGGATAATTTTACTCATCCTCCTCTACAATTCCCCCTTTCCTTGAATTACTTTTTACAAGAAACTGACTTTTTCCAAACAAAATTATTTTTAATTAGAAAAAAAGACACACAAATTTAAATTTATCAGATAATTTCGAAATTACTAAAAAAGTATAAATTTTGCCCTGCCAAAAAAATCTAAATAAGCCTTCCAAACAGAGACATATGCATTAAAGAACATTCAGGAGAACATTCACTTTAAAGAACATTCACTTTATTTCAAACATCTATTACTTAACATTGCAAAAGATAGCTGCTAAAAACTTATTATACATGATATTCTAAAATCAGCTATAATTTCTGCAATCAGACATGCTGCATGGAAAATGCATAAAATTTTATTTTTTGGGATACAGAATCACTACATCACAAAGAAGATTATAGCTAGACTCATGGTATAAACTGCAACAGTACCAGATACTGTCATTTTTAATGCTGCTAATTTAAAATGAGAGTCCATAAATAAGAAGAAATTTTTAATTTGGAGCAAAATTCATAGTTTCTAATTTTGATAAAAGGTCATTCTAAGAAATAAATGCTTAATAGATTATATGCACTCAATGAAGTACGAGTACTATGTACTCAATAAATGGCCAATTAGAATTTGAGTGCATGTTCAATATTTTACCTGCTAATTAATAATAAATATATGAAACTGTTCCATCTCCTTACGTTTAAAAAGAAAATTAGCCTTTAGTAAAGCAAAACTAAAATTATTCAAAAAATAAATTTAAGAATGTGACTATTTTCTTTTTAAAGAGGAAAATATATTATAATCAAACCCTACTATAATGAAATTCAAGGAATTAAAAATAGTTTACTACATCTAATCTGACACACACAGAAAAAGGATCATCTTACAAAATGGTGTAAAAATCAACTGAAGAAACAACAAAAAACTGATTCGCATTGCCATAGCATTAAAAAAAGTGAGTAACTCTACTTAAAAAAAAAAAAAAAAAAATCATATTACAGGTTAATTATAATTATTATTGTATGCAATTATTAAAATTTTTTACACTGCTTTTCAGTTTTACTATATGTTAATTATTTTAAAAGCTTAATTACTTAACATAGAAGTCATCGAGATTAGTGTTTCTCAACTGGATTTACTCCAATGACTGGTAAAATAATATTTTGGTATGTTCTTGCGGACCGGTAAGTTTAATAATTCGAACCATTGGCACAATTTTTGGACAGATAGCTGATTTTTGCCAGATATCTGGATATTTCGCGGACCGGCAAATATTCCTTACGGATCGATGCCAGTCCGTGGACGGTCAATTGAGAAACACCGATCTAGATCTCACCTTCTAATTACATAGTTTTATTCAAAACAAATATTTATAATTATCAATAATCCTTTTATCCATAAAAAATTATAAATAAAAAAATATTCATGAATTTACTTTTAATTTTAATTTGTGCTAAACTTCTGAGCACAAAAACAGTCTCTAATTCTGTACAGGTTGTACGAAAATTTTATAAATATTTTTGTTTCAAAACTTAAAAGATGTTAATCACAGTATCAATCATAGTAACTGTAGAACCATTTTTGGTTCTACAGTTTAATTGAATAGTTTTTTTTTTTTTTTTTTTTTTTTTTTTCTTTTTTTTAATGACATACATCATAGCATTGCCATCCATGGTAGTAAAGAATTTGCTTCCACTGTGGTGCGGAGTGTATTGTGTTTTTCAACTTTTCATAAACATCAGAACAAGAATCATTGATATTAGCAATTCTCATTTTAAGTGCTGCTGCAATAGCTTCAACAAATGAATCTTTGTAGCAATATTATCATTGAAGATTTTGAAAAGCTTTATCTCACATTCTGAAAACAAAGAAGCACAATTTTTTCTAAATATCAGCAATAAGCAAATCCTCATTTTTATCATCCTCCTTTTCAGCATCCTTCTTTGTTCAACTAACACACCAAAAACAATTCAAAATGTGCAATTTTTCACCAAGTTATCAAGACTAACAAGTTATCAAGATTAGTGCTGTTATTACATTGAGAAATGAAGTGGTATAATCTACTTGATTGTCCTACTTTCCAAAATGAACTGCTTCCTCCAGTAATATTTTACGCTCCTGATCTCATTTTGGTCCAGCATTGCAACTGAGAACACAATTATTCCTTGGAAAGTTGCAGTTGGGGAGGGGGCGGCATGAAAGTAACTTTAATCTATTAAAAGTTTTGGACACCAATGCATGTAGTATGTTCAAAAGAAGTGTATGTCAATAAAGAATAGAGTATTTCACTTTTGGAGTTAAGAGTTCTTCATCCCATTTTCATAATTCTCCCTCAAATAATTCTGATAAAATCCATATCTTTGAATTAGCTTTACAGGCAGAAGTTTTCTATTTTTTAGCATTTTGACTTTTCCCATTCTCTAATCACCAAAATTCTATATCAGTCAATGTCATTTATACTGGCACACAAAAGAATTGCGATTGGCAATTCTGACAGATTTTGCTAGAGCATCTTTGGTTTTTAAATTTTAAAATCTGTTTTGGCATCATCTTTTTTAGAACAATCCAGCTTCACTGGTGCTGAAAATACCTTTTCCTTTGCACTGATGACATACAGCTTTCCAATAGTTTTTTGTCCAGGTTCTTGACATCTATTTTGGAAACAATTTCTAGTTCTCCAACAATATTGTTGTGCTTCATAAACTTATATAACTAGTCATTTCAGTACAAAAAGGCAGACTCTCCAAAGATATTGATAAATTTATTGGCCTTTAATTACAAGCTTTTTTTCCGCATATTGGTAGATTGTGGTTTCTTTGAATAGTGAACCATACTGGCAATGTTTCTTCAACATCCTCATACTTGCTCTTTCTCAACTCATTCCTCGTATCCAACTTTTTTCTATGAGTACAAACTATCTAGTTTTGATTTTTTCACAATACTTACTATATAAACTGTAATCCAGGTAATTTGTAATTTACTTAAATTAATTCTTTATTTTTTGAATAACATTCACATTATCTTCAATAAATCACTCTACATTTACAACTTAACATACAGATGAACTTTTAGTACAAACAGTTTCTCCAATGCAGAGTTAAATAACAGAATACGTGAAGCTTTACCATCTAGAAGATACTAAAAGTGAAGACATTAAACATAGCAAAGTAAACATAGTAATCTGTCTGTCAATGAGACGATATTCATTTTTCCCAGAATATGTATGACTGATTGTAAAGCAAAGGTGCAATAGCTTTTATAAAAAATATTCTAAATCCTTCAAAAAATATAATGCAAAAAGTCCTATTCAGAAGACACAATCTGGTCAATATTTTAAAGAGTGAAACAAAATAAGCTGATGAGTATAAAAAATGTTTTTGAAACACAAATCACCACTCGCCCGAAGTTCAAATCGCCTGAAATTCATAAGAATCTATTCAGTACTTCCTCTTTACCTGAAAAGCAAAAATTTCGAAATTTTCATCATCATATCAGCTTTGAACAAAGCTATGTCTGACAGCTCAATCAAAAAACTTGAATACAGAATCCATTTAAGTTACTTGGTTCAATGGTCATATACTGGTTCTCCAACCACTCCATATGACACTTGCCTGCCAAAAGTATTTGTTTAGAACGTGAAGATAAAAGAAGTGTAACATAAGAAAATTTTCGGCTAACCTAACATGAATCAAATATGGATTCTAACATCCTAAACATGGAGTATTTTAAGGGTTAGTAATATTCAGTTGAAATTTGCAGAAATTCTGAGAAACATCATTATGAAAAATACAAAAAAAAAGTTATAAAAGTTCATTATATTTGATTTTTATTTATTTGAAAGTTCATTACAGTAGGATAAAACTGCACCGAGCATACAGAAAATTAGATGGGACAAAGAATTCCTTGTTATGTCCAAGGGTTCGGTATCAACCAGATTCACAGCAGTGGAATTTGGTTATATTTTCAGATCCTTCAAAATATTTGAAAATTAAATAAATATTAAATAAATCTGACATTTGCTCATAATAACATAAAATCACAGCAGATGGAAATAATGTGCTAAACAGAAATATTACTCTGTGAAAAGCAACGCAAGACAAATTTCAACCTATGTTAATAAATGATGTATCTAAAAAATGGAAAAATACATACCTTTCCTGTGGCGGGATCAATATGATATTTCTTAAGAAATGGAACTATATGCCTAAAAGGTGCATAAAAGGTGCATTGTAAAAGTTTTAGAATATGAATAATATATACATCTTTTGATATAGCACAACTTTAGCACAATAAAAAGCTGAAGATTAATAGATAAAAAAAAATTATGTATTATTTTTTTTTTATACTAATTTAATTTCATTAATAAAGTAAATATTAAGTACAGGGTAATCCAACTATAATTACAGCAAAAGCTTTTTAAACCAAAAACATTTTACATAATAAAATTTAAACAGAAACAAAAGGAAGAGCAATTGTAGTGCTTAATATAATTGCATTAGCAGTATTTGATAAAATGCTTAGTTTAGCATAAAATTATTAGAATAATAAGAAAAAGGAAAGAAAGAATATGCTTAATAAAATGCTAAGGTTCTTTAATGAAATTGAAACTTACATAAGATCATATATAGTGCCATCTGGAGTACATAAGGGATGTTCAAATGGTTGCAAAGATAAAGCACAATGGTCAAAAGGTAGCCGCCGAAATTCCGCGCCACCAGTATTTGCAACTATTAAAGATATTAAAATATTAATTAAAAAAATATCTGAAAGGTTTCAGATTTTAAATTACGTCCAAAGGGGTATTTTTTTAACATTGTGTGTGTTACATTTATTTATTAACTATCACATTTTTCACACTTAAACCATAAAATTCAGTTCAACAGCAATATTGCAAAATAATTTTTTAATGAGCATATCTTTAGAATTTCCAATACAGAGACTCGTGCACTGGAGAGAAAAATGTTTTTTTCTGTACAACATTGCCATTGCTCGCTTTAAAATCCTCGAGTTTGTTAATAAAAAATTCGTTTAAGTTTTTCAAAATATGAAATCGATAATAAAACAAATTCCAAATTTCAAATTTGGTCTTCCAGATGCCCATATTCATAGGAGGATTACATCATTTAAAATTCGATGGCTCTATGCACTGTTTTTTTATCACAATGCGAGAAATATATATACATTTAAGCAGATTTTTCATTATTTCATTTCTTCAAATATAATGCAGGACTCTAACATTTGGTGGCAAAAGTTTGAAAAGTGAAACGAACATTTATAGTAACGCAAAATCGCAAAACGAAAACAATAGTCATTCAGGGACAAAGCCCCTTTGGACTAAAAACATACACACAATTAATTTTGGTGCAAATAAAATAAGCGCTATAACATTTATTTTATGCTCAATCAATAAAACTTATGTTTTAAATTCATAACATATTGAAGAATTAAAAGGTACATGTGGTTAGAATGAAGTTAAAACTGAAATACATTGTTCTAGATACACTAAAACCACATTTACACATTTAGTACAAATAAGTAAAATTAGAAGCTATGGCAGATGATTCATTGAATGAAGCAATAGAAGAAGGGGAACTTAGTTCAGTAATCCGATCATCCCAGCTCTAACTGACGAAGTAGATGAGTTGTCTAAGAAATTTCACCTATTTTTACTTACATTGAGACAAAATTTTATTTTGTTTATAAATTCATAACCTTTTCAAATAGTTTTAAAATATTAAACACAGACATAGGGAAAGCATGCAAACCTTATAGCAAAATTCAGTTTCAGAATCTGCTAATTTTACTTAAATACTCTATCCACTTTTACAGACATTTTTTAAATTAATTTTCTGTCGATCTTTTCTTGAATAGTAGCGATGTGCATTAGATTAATACTTGAAAAGCATGCAGCATTTAATTAAAATCAATATCAATTAAATCAATTTTTTGCCTAAATTTAATCTGTACCAAACATTTTAGCCCAATAATAACAGAAATAACAGAATAATCAAAATGACAACTGCAATAAAACTATGTTTAGCCCTAAAAATTTCAGAACACTGTCCTATATATGTCCTACTGTCCATTTAATTAAAGAAAATAGATAATTGATTTAATCATGCAGGAACTGAATCAGAATGATGTCACTCAAAAACATTTTTACTCAAATTTCATTAAACTCTTCCTCAAAGAAATCTTTTTAATCTTTACAAAAGTATAATTCCCAATAAAATGAATGCAGTGCTTCTGGTTCCTAATACTGTGCAAATAAAATCAGAAAACTGTAATGTAAAAATTTTGTTTTTTTTCTGTTAGCAGGAACCCATTTAATGATAAACATAAATGCTAGCGCAAAATCTAACTAATGATGGTAATCATAATGATACATAACTCTTCATGAAAGGAATAACTACTTTAATTTGTCATGAATATCCGAGATATGGACTTGTTGTATTTCGGCGATCTTTCTAGATGTAATACTTTTCTAGATATTACACCATAAGTTTAAATCTACAGGCATGTAGAAATTATTAAATTAAAAATATGAAATCCTGGTTTATGAAATAATGAAGTATTTATGATCTAAAGGATATCAAAATTTACAAACAAACAAAAAAGCTGTATATTTATTTGTTTACTTTATTAAACATTTCTTTCAATGTAACTTGTTTAAGGTGCTTTACTTTTTGTGCTAATACTTTTTTCTTTAATTCTGTAGACACGTAATTTCCTCTTAAGTTACAAAATCCCATTATCCAAGTCCTGTAACTGCTGTATCGAGGATTCTGACTAACTTGTCAATCAAAATTTTTTCATTTTTTCATTTCCTCTCTGTCACTTTCTTTACTATCAATAGTGATATTTTCTGGATCTACAGATTTCGCTGTTTTTTAATTGATTGATTATTGAGGTATTGTCATTGCAGTGAAAAACTTCTGTTATATCGTTTTCATATATTACCGCTTTTCCACATTTCTTTACCAAATCCATTAACTAGAAAATTTCCCCTTCAGTTTGTGATGTCTGAAAACCTTCAAATTCGATGGTATCATCATCATCTTCACCACGAAATATGGTAGCTGGCCTTAAGTCAAGCATTTTAAAAAATATCTGGAGACATAATTTATAGTTTATTTCTGGTATGTTTACATGATTGCTAAAGTAACTATAATAGAGATTCTAAGACTAATGTTAAGAAATAATTACTCAGTAATAGTTTGATTTGTAAAACAATAGTACCGAATTGCTGCATATATTTTGATTTTCCAAGTAATGGATATATATATAAATTGCAATAAGAGTTAAATAAATAAGTTTTTTTTTTCTAGATCAATCAATGGTTAATTCATTTTGTGTGCTCATGATTTTCCCCAGTTTATTTCTAAAATTGATTTTAGGGTTAATCCGGACTAAACACAATGCAAAATGATAATTTTTATTGATACCAGTATCTTATTGTTGAAATGAGTATTTTTAGTGTTGTGGTCAACTAGTAGGTTACCTTATTGGTAATTTTAAAAACGACACAACAAAATTGATATCCTCCCACAATTTTGTGATGCTTCACACAGCAGATTTCAAGCAGATGCATGCTAAATTATTTTTTTAATTATGAATAGTTTGGCCATTATGCAAGAAATTTAACATGGATTTTAAAACGGCTACTTTATATTTGCATTTCAGTGCACATACTATTCTAATATTCATAGGCATACAGTTTGGGGGAAACAATAATACGGACATGTTATCTTTCACTAAAACTCTGTATGAGCTTCTGAATTGAAGCATGAGCTGAACAGTTGATCAGGACAATTTTTGCAGCATCAGATAAACCAACTGATTTCAAATGTTGCTAAGCCTCGAGTATGAAATAATTTTCAAACCAGCATTCATTAGCACTTGTTTCACACATACTCTTTTAGTATTTGCATGATATATAACAGGGAGAATCTTCACTCCTTTAAATGCTTGAGGTCAAATTTTGTTTTCCGATAACAAAAAGTAAACACTTTAGCATTTACACATTCTAAAATTGTTAGTCTCACTTTGGAATCTGACACCAGTTGGAGGCTTTTCTGTAGATGTTGCCGAGGTATTTCATGGTACATATTGTCAGAGAGACAAGTTTCATCAGCATTGTAAATTTTTTCTGGAGATATCTTTTTACTATTAACGAGTTCAATGAATTCATCTGCAAATAGTTCAGCAACATCAGTATCAGCTAAAGCTTTTTCATCTGAAATTTTTAATTGCCTTACACCATGGTGATTTTTAAATTAGGTTAACCAACCTGTTGAATATGTGCACTCAGCTTTTAAATTCATTTCTTTATGAGATTATCGGATCTTAACAATATCCCGCTACAGCAAATATCGTCTGCACAAACAGTTCACATTGTCATGTTTAACCATATTTTGTCAAACAATTCTTGGCATTTGAAAGAAAGATACTTATTTTAGAGCTATGCTATGAAATAAATAAATTTAAAAAAAAATATTTTAACTGTGCTATGAAATTTGTAAAAAATATAGTGTTATCATTAAGTATAAGATGTCTGAAATGGAGCTATCACACTACCAGATTAGAACCATCATGTACTTCCAGTTCTGTAGCAAAAAGTCAGAAAGTCACCAAATCATGTGCACAGCTTTATGTACTAATGTTACATCATATGACACTGTGAAGTTTTGGTATCAAAAGTTCAAACCAAGGACTATGGCATTCAAGAAGCAGAGCACTCTGACCAACCTACTGTTGCTGATGAGGCCCGTCTGCAAGAACTTGTGGAAGAAGATCAGTATGCAACTAGTGGACAGCTTGCTAAGGAGTTAGACGTTAATGCCATGTCCATTTAGTTGCGCTGTGCATTGCATAAACTTGAACGAGTTCAATTGTTGGGTGCGCATGAGTGGACTTAAGCAGATAAAGACAGACGTGTTCAGGCCTGCACTAATCTACTCGAATATTAGCAGAAATACAAAATTCTGGACTGGATCGTCACTTTTGATAAAAGTAAATTTACTTTAACAACACAGGCCGAAAAGGCAATTGGACACCCTTGACAAAAAGACACTGAAGGTGCAGAAACACTTAATTCACTATTCTGCTAAGTTTCAAATGCAAACAAATATGGCTGCTATGGTATAGAAAAATAGGCTTAGCCACAATTAAACTACTTTTAAATTGTTGATAATTCTACAACTATTGCATGCAGATTAACTAAAGGCATAAAACTCTTAATCGGATGATAAGAACAACATAATTCAGTCATTTTGTCATTTTTAAAGTAAAACACATACAATTTACTAACATATAAGAATAAAAAAACTGAGCTCAGTGAGCTGAGTAACAGAGAGGGTATATATATATATATAATTTGGCACTACTCTTATATATGCTCTCAAATTGCCAAATGCGGCGATATGTGTTGTGCATTGGTTTTTCGCACGGTTGTGTGTTCTGCGATGGTTTTGGGGGCGACATTGGTTTCTATGGCAACCCCTTTTACATTGACACTTGGATTTTACTGTTGTAAAATTTTAGTCGCGTGCCTGGTACAACTACTTTTTCGGGTGGCTGGAAATTCTACAAGTATTTAGGAGAAGAAAGTTTTGAACATTTATTTGTGAAAGATAGTATCAATTTTGTGGACAGTGAGTCTGGCTGTCACATAAATACGACAGAGATTATATGGCAACATGTTAAAGCTACCTTGCCTACTTATAATCGGAAACGCGATTTTGAATTTTATTTGTTGGTTTATATATTTTCCCATCATTGTTCTGAAATGGAAGAAGATGCTTTTAACAAATTTATGGTGAAATTGTTTTGGTGATGTTTGAAATTGGTATTTCTGCTGTTCAAAGAAGCATTCATTCATGGTAAGTGCATTTTATTTTATTCTTGTTCTTGTTTTGTAGACTGTTATGTTCATTGTTTTTTTAGTACGAATTTCTGTTGTTATTGTTATTTTTTTTTTTTTTTTTTTTTTTTTTTTTTTTTTGAATTCCTAGAAATTTATTTGTTATTTTAGTTTATTCTGTTGATTAGGGCGCAATGCCTAGATTGTGCAATTCGTAGAGATGTTTTTTAAAATTTAAACAGAATGCTGTGTACATGGTATTTTTGAAATTTACTGTTTTTAATTTATTAAAGCGAGGTGTGCGTAGTTTGTAGTTTCCTTTACTGCTTAGATTGTGCAATTCATAGATTTTTTTTAATGTTTAAACTGAATGCTGTGTACATGGTATTCTTTGAAATTTATTGTTGTTACGTTAATTCATTAAAGCGAGGTGTGGGTAGTTCGTAGATTCCTTTGCTTCCTAGATTGTGCAATTCACAGATGTTTTTTTAAGTTTAAACAGAACACCGTGTACATGGTATTCTTTGAAACTGATTGTTGTTAAGTTAATTTATTTAAGCTAGGTGTGCGTAGTTCATAGATTCCTTCATTGCATAGATTGTACAATTCCGTGATGTTTTTTCAAGTTAAAACATATCACTGTGTACATGGATTCTTGTCAAATATTTTTGGTTAGAAACTTTACGTTTTAGCTTTCTAAATTTTTTGTTTTTGTTTTGGACTTTTAGCTTAAATTGTGTGTTTAAAACATGGTTTTAGCATTTGCAAAAACCGCTTTTTTGGAAACATTTTAGGCTTAAAGTTCGAAATGCAAACTAAAAATTTAGATAGTAATATGGCACTGTGGAGTTTCTCACCAAAAATATTTGGCGAGAAATTTATCACCAAGCGAGGGCGTATATAAGAGTAGTTCCTATAATTTATATACTTTTGGTGCAACCAATTGCAATAAAAAAAAACTGAGCTCACGAAGCTGAAGTAACAGAATGGCTTCATATATACACTTCTGGTGCAGCCAATTGCAACCAAAAAGGGAGGCACACAACTACATGTTATAGTAGTCCCACATAAAAAAATTTCAATGATCTGAGGCTCCTCGTTTTTGAGTTATGCAAGATACGTACATATGTCATGAAAAAAAGTGATTGCGATTCCATTTTAAATCCGTTTTTGGAAAAAGAGTCCTTTATTCTCTCTTTATGTACAGATGTCATGCAAAAACATTGTTAAATTGCATTCAATAGCAATCAAAATGGATATTTTCATTGAGAAATGGTAACCGGAATTTTTCATGATTACAATACTTCCTTAACTTCATACAAGGAAGTAAAAAACTGACCTCATCGAGACGGGAACTTTTTGAGTGGACAATTGCAACAAAAAAGGGAGCTGCACAACTACATGTTACAGCAGTCCCATACACAAAATTTTAACATTCTGAAGCTACTCATTTTTGAGTTAAGCAAGATACAAATGTACACAGGTACAGATGTCACCAAAAAACACTCTTTTAAATTAATTTTAAATCCATTTTACAATTCCTTTTGGAAAAAAAAGTCCTTTTTTCTAAACATATGTACAGATGTCATGGAAAAACATCATTCAAATGGATTCAAGAGCAGTCAACATGGATATTTTCATTGGAATATGATACCTGAAATTTTTTGCAATTACAATACTTCCTTTATTTTGAACATGGAAGTAAAAAGAATGAATGACATACAATTGCAAAAAAATATTTACTACATAAATACATTGTTAGGTATTTATTTATATTAACCAGTTATTTTACGTTATGTATTTTTACGGTCATTTCATACTTTTTTCCTGCCAGTATGCAAATTTTAGTTTGCGCGTGATAGTATTTGAATAGACGAGGTTAAATGAGGTAGAAAGAGACAGTATTTAACGGAAGGTTTTAGATTGCTTAGACACAGCATGTTCCACCTGCTGAGGGCGACATTACTACTTGAATTTTTACGATAGCAGTCCTGTCTTTAGCGCTGTTTTACTCTTGCCAGCAGTGCTTGGCCGATGTAGGTTTGAGCCAACTCGCATGTCTGTTTAGCCTTTGGGTAATGCCATATATGCTAGTTTGTTTTGTAAATATGAGAACTGCCTTCTGTTCAACTATGCAGTGTTCTTAATAAAATGGTCTTTTACACCCTTCTTACATCTCTGTGTGATTAAGGTCCATTTGAAAAAAGTTAGGAAGACTGTGATTTTTTTTTTTTTTTTTTTTTTTTTTTTTTTTTTTAAGAAACAGAAATAGGTAACAGACAGTGGAAAACACTAATCAGGCCAAAAAATATTTTGATAGAAGTGATATGCAAATGTTTAATGATGTTTTACAGGAAGCGCAACATGAAAAGACAGCCAGCCAGTAACAATGGCAAAGTTTCACTAACATTGCAAATATACACTCCTGGAAAAAAGAGATGGGGAACTGCAAATAGAGAGGAAAATCCAAAAATATTAAGATTGGAAACAGACACTAGAAGGAACAAGACACCAAGGAAACAACCAAAAGTACAAATATCCAGGAGTTCCAGTGAACAACCTATAGACAACCAACATACACACAAAGTGTTGAAAGAAAGTCAAGTGCTTATTCTGAAGTACAATGACGGACCCGTACTGAAGGTTCTATGGAAGAAGTGCCCAGCAAAGGAAATTCCAACACCACAGAGGAGGCCACAAAAGTTCCAGCTATCTGGTTCGCCTAATTTGCCAGCTAAGAGGTCTAGTAGAAAGTCTAAGACTACATCTCCAATTTACGAAATGGCTAGCGAAGCCAGACTTCTTCAAGGACATGGAAAAGTTAGAAGATTCTGGGAAGAAGCCCAGGAGAGGAAATGGCAAATTCAACCAGATGGTGTAACATAGCCCTGGAGACAAAATAGAGAGCGACAAGCAGACCTCTTTCCCTCCTGGGAATAATTTATTACCAAACAAATGGAGGAATTCTGAAAAACTAAAAGAGAAGTGAATCTTTTTTACCTTAACAAGATCGTCAAAGACCTTCATTACAATTACTTAAATTCTGGCAGGGAAAACTGTAAGGTATTTATTTATATTAACCAGTTATTTTATAGTGCATATCTTTACTATCATTTCTCCCTTTATGTTTACTTGCCAAAAAGCAAATTTTAGATCATGTATATTTAAATGAGAAAGAGACAGGGGCTTAAAGGGAGGCTTTAGATTGCTTAGATAGAGCATATTCTGCCTGCTGAAGGCCATGTTACTAGTTGAATTTTTATGATAGCAGTCTGTCGTCAGTGTTGCTTTACTCTTGCAATAGTGCTTGTCATCTTGGTATAGGTTTGACCCAACGTGTGAGGTAATTATTTCTGTATAGCATTTGGCAAATTTATGACTTAGATTTAGTTTGAATTTCAATTCTATCTTTTGAGTTATGCAATAAATGCTGGCTGGTTTTGTGAGCACAAGAAGTGCTTTCAGTTCAATTATATTGAGCTCATAATTAAAAGAGCCTCTTACACTCTTATGTCTCTGTGTGATTAATTAGATATAGTGACATGTCATGATCATTTTTTTTTTTTTTTTTTTTTTTTTTTTTCAAGAGTCTTGACTTAGTATATGCTACTCAAAACAGTGAAACTATACAAATATATTTTAGATTTTAATTACTTATCTCAAAAAATCTATCAATAAACCTACTTTATTCTCCTACTTTATTTATGAAGAAATATTATTTCTGTAGAAATTTCTCTCAGTTTCTTCCACGGCAGCATATTTTAAAAGTGACTTGAAGACAAAACATATTCTCCTTTATTAATAAAAACCATTGGAACTAGAATGCATGAAAAAAGGGCAACACTGCTAGTTAAAAATAAAGAACTGTTATACACATGATTGCCAAAGTTTGGTCATATTCTGAAAATTTGGCACATTCTGCTAATGTGGGCACTAATACCTAAATATTTAAATTTGAAACATTTAAAAAAAAAAAAAAAAATACCAGTTTTCTTTCCACCATAAAATTGACTCCATTCTGTTGCAGTCAGGTACCTAAATAATAAAAACAAAAAGTATTAGAAGATAAATGCCATAAAAACCATGTACATGCAATGAAAGTTTTTATTACATAATTTTAATTTTTATGCACTGTTTTCAAAATAAACATTATATATGAGTGAATTATTATCTTTTGATAATAAAATAGGAAAACCTGAATGGCAAAAACAAATTATAGTCTATTCATAAAGAAAGACTGGAAATAAGTAAAAGCAGACAAGTTTGATAATAACTGCGAAATCATGGAGCATATAAATGCTTGTAGACATTCTGCAGTCTCTTCACTGGAAATTTGAGCATTTTTCTAATGTTTTAAAGGTACTTTCCCGTTTTGCCGGCACAGGTGATAAATTCGCCAATAATGGTACAACTGACGCCAAACGTAATATCCTCGTTGGTAACCTTTTACGTCTCATTTTCAAAACAATTCGCAGCCATTTCTTATCAGATTGATTGTTTCTTTCAATACTGGCATATAATTACATAGAATTTTTACCAGATAGTTCAATTTTATGCCCTAAGGCCATTCATGGTAATTAAGTCAATTAGGAAGCAATCACACCACTCACCCGAAGGCGAAAAATGGCAAGGGTTAAATTCATCAATTCTAATGAGAATGCACTAGTGAAGTAAAGCTACGGTTTTACATAATTTCTGATCGTACGAATTGAAATAATTCTTGCATTTAAACTTGTATTCCAAATTAAGATTTAACTCAAAATTAATGTAGATAATTACTGAGAGAATTAGATTTTTGTAGCTTAGTTTACGTGAGATGAGATCACTTGGTGTCACGTGATATGAACCGTCGAATCAGGATGCTGAAACATGAAAGCATAGTCAATTCTTAAATTAAAGTCTTTTTACAAATTTGTTGTCTTTATTTATTGGCTATTTACACAATTTTAAACGATATTAAAATGTTTGAGTTCAAAATAAAAAAATTTTTAGAACTAACATTTGTTAACATTTTTTATGTGTATACTGTCACTGATGTTGTGTCACAAAAAAGTCTGCTTGGCGAGATTTGTGCCGGCAAAGCAGAAAACTACCATTTTAAATTACATTGGCTTAGAAATGCTTCGTATTTAAAATTACAAAATTTTACAAATATTTCATATTTTAAATGAAACAAGATGCATGTAATATGAGGTGAACAAGAATCCAAGAACAGATAATTCTTATTTCAAGAAGAAATAAATATATTTTTCCTATTTACATTCAGCTTATCAATTAACAGGAAACATCGGTTAGAAATGAATTTAGGATACCCCTTGCATTATCGTGAAATTGCTATTTCATTTATCGCCAAGTTGTTTCATTTATGGTAGCCTGAGTAGTTGAATGTTATGGAAACCCTATTATGACATAATCACTGCGGTAAATTCGTAAGGGCTTGTGTGTGTGTGTGTGTGTTAGGAAGTATATTGCTTGTTTCGTGGTTTAGACTGTAAAATGACCGAATCTGGGAAGATTTATTTAAAGTTTCTGTACGATTTGGAAAGGAAGGGAAATAGAGCATTACTTGACTGGCGTGTAAATGAAAGTTTACTTAGTAGCCATTTTAAGGTGTCCTGTTTCTAGGGAGCAAATGGGTATGGTTGAACTTCGTTACGAAGGATATTTTTTATTCTTATTTTGGGAATTTATGCAGCGATGCCAGTATACAGATTCTAAATCAGATAATTTTAGGAAGTTTTGGGATGCTGTTAAAGAATTTTTGGTTGATCTTTACAATATGGTAACTGGTAGTTTGGCGACATTTTGGAGGCGATAAAGGTTACTACCTGGGACTTTGGTAATAATGTGAGCAGTACTCAGTTCCGATTACGCATTATTTTGCATGAGGGAAATGAGAGATCATGGGATATGTCATGTGATATTAATGGACGAATTACGGTTCTTTAATCGGAAAAGGTGGGAAATCGGGAAAAAATCTGGAAATTTTGTATTTAGCTTTATTCTGTGTTGTATGAAACAGTGTTGGTTAATTTTTGGATCCCATGGCCCTAACTAAAGTGAATTCGAAATGGGTATTTAGGCATTGTGATAAAGAGAAGTTTGCTTTTTTATTTAGCGGAGGAAGTATGGAGGAAAATTCGCAGAAAAAATCTTTCAATAATTTTATTGAATGAATTAGAAAAGTGTATCCGCCACGTAATCAAGATTCTGAAGAAGATTAGGTAAGTTAGTATTTTTAATTATTTGAGGATATTATTTTTATGCATTGTTCTAAATGTAAGGTGGAAAGGAATTTTGGTATTATTGGAAAAATTGTTATTAGCAATGATTTAGTTTAAAGTAATTAGGATTGTAAGGTAATTTTTTTATTAATTTAATGTATGTGCTCATTTATATTTTAAGTAGTGTTTTTGAATTTAATTATATTTTAATGAAATGATAGTTATTTTGTGAATTTTTATGTTTGTAGGAATTTGGTATACGTTTTAGTTGAAGTAAACGTGCATGGAAATAATTTAAATATCTGACACTAAGTATTTGTAATGGTTGCGGTATGAATTCGTTGGTGACGTTTATAATATAATAAATAATTTAGAGGTAAAAGTTTTTTGGATATTTTATTTATTTTATATGTGGAAATGTTCATATTTGAAAAGGGTAAATACTTTTTCGCGATCAGGTAATTTCATATATGTTCTTTTTACCGGGTTTTAAAGATTGAGAAAATTGTCATGTATTTTCGTGAAATTTTTCTAATTTATGAGAAAAAAGCAGTGTACATGGATATAGTGAAGAGTAGGCGCAATGCCATTTTTTGTGCAATTCTGGGATGTTTTTTAAGTAAAAATAAGTCGACGTGTACATGGTTTAGTGATATTTTAATTAATGATAGTTATTTTGTGAATTTTATGTTTGTAGGAATTTGGTATACGTTTAAGTTGAAGTAAACGTGCATGGAAATAATTTAAATATTTGATACTAAGTATTTGTAAATGCTTGCGGTATGAATTCGTTGGTGACGTGTATAATGTAATAGATGATTTAGAGGTAAAAGTTTTTTGGATATTTTATTTATTTTATATGTGGAAATGTTCATATTTGGAAAGGGTAAATACTTTTTCGCGATCAGGTAATTTCATATATGTTCTTTTTTACCGGGTTTTAAAGATTGAGAAAATTGTCATGTATTTTCGTGAAATTTTTCTAATTTATGAGAAAAAAGCAGTGTACATGTATATAGTGAAGAGTGTGCGCAATGCCATTTTTGTGCAATTCTGGGATGTTTTTTTAAGTAAAAATAAGTCGGCTTGTACATGGTTTATGTGTATGTGTTATTTTGAAAAACGCGTAAGGAGTATGGTATTGTGCACTTTTTCCCAATTTTGCAGTGAATATTTGTCATGATTAAGCAGTTTTGTTTGATAAAATTTCTAGCATAGCATTAATTCTAGTAGATTGTTGGAAGAAGTGTTCAGTAGATAAAAAGAAAAGAAACATGTCTTTACTTCGTGAAGACAAAATGGCGGCGGGGAAAAAAAATAGAGGGTTGCTGTAGGAGAGTTGGTTGCCAAATTTTCGCCAAAAAAATCGCCAAGTTACCATAATGTAAAGATCAACCGAATTTTCTTTGGCTGAAGAAGTGTGAATTCGTAAATAAGTTAAGTGGATATTTCCTTTGTGTAGTGCAAAGATGAATTTCCTTTTTCATGTTATTTCAATGTTTGATTTAAAATGTAGTTTATTGAGATTATATATTTTTTTGTTGGCTGCTGCTTTGACTTTTGAAGTGCATATAGTTCGATGTGTACATGGACAAACTCAAGGGTGTGCGCAAAGCCTAGTTTATGCAATTCTCTGATTTTTTTTTTAAGTGAAAATAGGTCAATGTGTACATGGATAAAGTCAAGGAAGTGCACATTACCATATTTGTGCAATTATGGAATTTTTTTTAAGTGAAAATAAGTCGATGTCTACATGGATACCGAGTTTGTGCAATTCTCTCTCTCTTTTTTTTTTTTTTTTTTTTTTTTTTTTTTTGCTTTGTAGCAGCGATTTAGTCTAGTTTGTGCAACTCTATGATGTTTTTTTAAGTGAAAATCGGTCGATGTGTACATGGGTAAAGTCAATGGAGTGCGCAATGCCATTTTTATGCAAATGTGGGATTTTTTTTTTAAATGTGAAAATAGGTCGATGTTGAACATGGATACAGAGTTTGTGCAATTCTTTGTCTTGTTATTTTGGCTTGCGTAACACGCCAAAATAACACGTCAAAGAATTGCACAAACTCGGTATCAATGTATCGCCAAGGGGTATCCTTAAATATACTTTTACTGAAATATCATTTCAGACTATTCTCAAATTAGAAAAATACTCACAATACTCTGAAAATGAATTTGGAATTATTTATATAAGCAGTTTACAATTTTACGTGTAATAATCCATGCTGACACATTTTCCTGTTGAGATAAAATTCAAAAATATTTAAATCTTTTTTTTTTTTTTTTTTTTTCAGTTATATAACATCTTGTTTACTAATTTACTTGTAACGGCATTTTTTTTTTTGTAACGTTAAAATAACACATCATAAATTTTATTAATTGAAATCTTTTCAATTTATAGTTATATTTCAGATAATGCATTACAATGATGCATGATTAAATTAATAAACTTAGTTACTAGCTTTAATTACTTATTTTCAGCTCATTTTATGATTAAGAATTTACAAAAATTACACACATTTTAATTCCTAGCTGTGCTGATTTATTAACATTAAATTTAGCTCTTACAACCTATAAAGTATTGAATAGAATGAATAATTCATTTTCCTCAGTTAATTTTTGCTGCCTATCGTTATTTTTTAACCCTTTGACATGCAGTGGTTGCGCCCTGAAACCACCAGTTTTCGAATTTTTTTCTCCTCTTCTTTCCGAAATTGTTGAGAGAAAATTGATTGATTACTGATCTTTTACCTCTAAATAACACAAAATGACTGCAGAATCATACATGTGTTAGGTCTTAGTATTTCAAATCAGATGCCTTTTAATTTCTTTTAATTTTAAAATTTCTTTTCAATGAAACAAAATAACTTCCTTTTATTAATATAAAAACTTTAAATTTCAAAAGTTATTCATCGCACATCATGATTTCTATCATACACAATAAAAAATAGCAATAATTAAACTCATATATAAAAAAACTCATCTATATGTATGGCATTTGCTTTGTGGTTTCAGGGCGCGATCACTGCCCCACTAGAGCATTGTGTCAAAATGGCTCGCTGGTCACACCTTGAAACCACTGCTGGTTGATCTTTACATTATGGTAACTTGGCGTTTTTTTGGCGAAAATTTGGCGACCAACTCTCCTACAGCAACCCTCTATTTTTTTTTTCCCGCCGCCATTTTGTCTTCACGAAGTAAAGACATGTTTCTTTTTTCTTTTTATCTACTGAACACTTCTTCCAACAATCTACTACCGAATTACTTATTCTAGAAATTTTATCTAACAAAACTGCTTAATCATGACCAATATTCACTGCAAATTGGGAAAAAGTGCACAATACCATACTCCTTACGCGTTTTTCAAAATAACACATACACATAAACCATGTACAAGCCGACTTATTTTTACTTAAAAAAACATCCCAGAATTGCACAAAAATGGCATTGCGCACACTCTTCACTATATACATGTACACTGCTTTTTTCTCATAAATTAGAAAAATTTCACGAAAATACATGACAATTTTCTCAATCTTTAAACCCGGTAAAAAGAACATATATGAAATTACCTGATCGCGAAAAAGTTTTTACCCTTTCCAAATATGAACATTTCCACATATAAATAAATAAAATATCCAAAAACTTTTACCTCTAAATCATCTATTACATTATACACGTCACCAATGATTCATACCGCAAGCATTACAAATACTTAGTATCAAATATTTAAATTATTTCCATGCACGTTTACTTCAACTTAAACTATACCAAATTCCTACAAACATAAAATTCACAAAATAACTATCATTTAATTAAAATATCACTAAACCCATGTACCGTCGACTATTTTTACTTAAAAAAACATCCCAGAATTGCACAAAATTTTCATTGCGCACACTCTTCACTATATCCATGTACACTGCTTTTTTCTCATAAATTAGAAAAATTTCACGAAAATACATGACAATTTTCTCAATCTTTAAACCAGTAAAAAGAACATATATGAAATGACCTGATCGCGAAAAAGTATGTACCCTTTCCAAATATGAACATTTCCACATATAAAATAAATAAAATATCCAAAAACTTTTACCTCTAAATCATCTATACATTATACACGTCACCAACGAATTCATACCGCAAAGCATTACAAATATTAGTGTCAGATATTTAAAATTATTTCCATGCACGTTTACTTCAACTAAACGTATACCAAATTCCTACAAACATAAAATTCACAAAATAACTATCATTTAATTAAAATATAATTAAATTCAAAAACACTACTTAAAGTATAAATGAGCACATACATTAAATTAATAACATAAAAACCCATTTCGAATTCACTTTAGTTACGGCCATGGGATCCAAAAATTCATGAACACTGTTTCACACAACACAGATAAAGCCAAATACAAAATTTCCAGATTTTTTTTCCCGATTTCCCCCTTTTCCGATTAAAGAACCATAATTCGTCCATTAATATCACATGCTATCCCATGATCTCTTTTTATTTCCCTCACACAAATAATGCGTAATCGGAACTGGTACTGCTCACATTATTACCAAAGTGCCAGGTAGTAACCTTTATCGCCTCCAAAATGTCGCCAAACTACCAGTTACCATATTGTAAAGATCAACCCCACTGCTCTTCACAATGGCATTTCTTGCTTCTCAAATAGGAATGTTTATTTTTACCCAGATATAGATAAGGGGTTTTGAAACCAGAGTTATTTCATTACTAAACAATTCATGCACCTGCTTAGTAAAAATGTCTTTCTTTTCCAGAGACTTTTCTCTGACCTCAACACACTTGTTCCCAGCGCTTAAAGTTTTATTTAAATTTAAAATATTTTCTGAATATTTTGGGATGAAATACGAATAAAATAAGTATGAATGGGAAATGAATGATTCGTTCCAAAGCCAAAAAGACCAAGCTCCCCTCCCCCCCCCCATAACATAAAAAAACACAAATTTCTTGTGCCAGATGAAAAAAACTAAATAATGCTATATACCAGTGAAATTAAGATCCAGGCAGTGTACATTTCATAGCACAAGGAAGAAAACTCATAGAAGATACATGTGTGAAACGTGCAATGTGGGTCTATGCACGTACCAAAAAAGACAAAACATGCTTTGAACAGTATCACAAAAAAATTCATTCTTTGAAATTAAAAAAAAAAAAAAAAAAAAAAAACCACCGAGTCTTTTTTTTTTATCCTTATTTTACTTAGTTTCTTTATCCATTTAGTCAAATGTCCTTATTATGTAGGCACTTATATTTTCACTGCTATAAAAAAAAAAATTAATAAATGTTTATTTTTTTAATTTTTTCTGAAGAATTACTTTGCAAAATAATTTTAAAAAATTATATATAATGCAATTCTTATATACATTTTTTTAAAATTCCTAAATTTCGTCATTTATTGGAAACGCGAACGGAGAAAGGTAAGTTTTTTTTTTTTTTTTTACTACTCAGTAAAGTGTCAAAGTCCTAGACTCTCGGTGGTTTCACGGTGCGACCACCACCCACAGAACAATGGACAAGAGTAGATTTTTTTTAATTCATATATTATTTGTCTCTACGATCATAATATTCAATTTCTAGAGTTTTTAGTTAAAAAATTTATAAAAATAATATCGCGCGCGTCAAAAGGGTTAAGCTGGTTTAATCAACAGATTAATTCGCTTATGTGATCACATCTTTACTTTTATACAAATAGTTAAATATAAAGATACATATATATATTTATATACGCACATTTTGTCTTTTTGATGTTGTTTCTTCCCCATTTTCTCTAAATATCAGCAAACGTTGATTAAAAAAATTACTTTTAAAATATCTTTTCTAAATACCACACAATATTTTTACCAAAACGTTTTTCTTTCCTACAAAATAACGGAATTCGTTGTTGACAGGTTATCTTCACGAGAAAAAGGGGGAAAAAATGGGAGGAGTTACGAGATTCTCTGGGTTGCATGAAGATCTACTAATAACTTTCTCGCCAAGTAATTTGGCGTCATTGGCTTATTCTTATTTCTGGAACTGTGGCTTGAAGAGTGGCGTCTTTTTGATCCGTAAGTATGCTATAATTCTCCCATAAATTTTTAATATTTTTAATACGTTTTTCCAAATTTACACATTTTGCCTGATTGATTTATTTGAAGTTGTTTGTTTTAGATGTGCGCAATAGCAATATTGGCAAATTTCAGGTTTATTCGTCAATATAACCCAAGTTTTTTTATTTCTCTGGTAAGTGTTTGCTTTATATCTTACATTTATTATAAAATATGAAAAGTAATTTTTGCATGTGTATATTTTTTCATGCTCAATTTTCTGTTTTATGTGCTGGTAGATTTCTGGCCGATTACCGTGTTTTTAGATAAATGCGCCATTTTCATTTAGGCTCGTGTAGAGATTACTGTTTCCATTTTTTTAAGTAACCACGAAAATTTCTTAACACATGTAAAAGCTTTACTAGTAAACTTTTGATTGGAGGATATTTCAAGTAAATGTGCCATTATTACTGAATTTGTGTAGAAGTTGCTCTTCGTTATGCCTTTTTGAGCCAATATGTTAATTAGTTGTATTATTTTAATACCTTGTTTTGCAGATTAAGTGCAGTTTATTTGACAGATGTGTAATGCTGTTTGTTGAAAAATGCATTAGAACCAATGATGGTAAGAGCTTGGCCTAGCAAATTGGTAAAATATTACCTACTCTTAATTACTGAATCATATTGTAGGATAAAATCTGCTGTTTATGTATGAAAATTTTGTACTTTATCTCTGATTATGTGGTATATGCCCAGAATTTCATTATTAATGATCGATTCATTAAAAATACTATTTTTAATTGTCTACTTTGTTTTGTGTACTGCTGCTGCTCATTCTGCATTTTTTTTTGGGGGGGGGAGTAGATATAAAAATTAATGTCTTGTTTTTTCTTTTTTTTCCCCTCCATGTCTCTTTTTATTAGTGCTGGTAAATTTCTGACTGAACTCATTTCAAGTTGAATGTGGTATTTTCTTTAGCTCATGTAGAGATTCATCAAGTTTTTGCTGGTAAATTTTTGACAAAATTTCAAGTAAATGTGCCGTTGTTACTTAGTTTGCATAAAAATTGTTTTCTTTATGCCTCTTTTGAATAAATATGTCAATTCTTGTTTGTATTATTTAATATCTTGTTTTGCATATTAATACAGTTTATTTAACAGATTGAGATGCGAGAATATTCATTAAAACTAATGCGGGTAAGTTCTTGGCCTAACAGATTGGTAAAGATTTTCTGATCTTAATTACTGAATTTTATTATATTCTAGGATAAAAGTCTGCTTTTTACGTGTGAAATTTTTATTTATCTGATTATGTGCCAAATTTGATGATTCAAGAAAAATGCCATTTCTGTGTGTAGCTAGTTCGTTGTTGCTGTTCGTCATGCAGTTCTTTTGAATATGTATCAGTTTGAAAATTTATTCATACATGTGTATTTTTCTCATCCATTTTTGCTGTGCCACTTTTCCTGTGAATATTATTTTTATTTAGTCTATATAGAATTTCCTCTTTGTTTTTTTTGAATAAGTATGATAATTAGTTCTTGTTTGTGTTATTTTAATGCCCAACATTCACTTTCGAATGTTTTGTTAATTATAGAAGCTAATTTTACTTTCTGCTTGCAGTTTTTAACTCTCTACCTTTTATCCAGACATTAATAACATCTGCCTTTTCATTTCTAAACTTAAAATATCGCAGTCGGGAAAAGGTTTCAATTTGAAAAGTAGTGGCTTTTCTAATTGCAAGAATTTCTCTTCAGAATTATAATTAACATAAGCTGTGCATTCTCTGCTGAGTATTTCATTTCTCAAAAAGTCTAGTAGACCTTTTAAATCGCAATTTTAATCTTTAATTTTTTTGGATATAATTAAGAACGAATTCATTTGGAAGCAATTTAAAAAATAAAGGTATTAAAATATTTCTGTATAAGTCGGTATATTTTTTAATGTTGCCGTGCAGCGTAAAAGCATCTCTACTTTCTCCCAGAAGTCTTGCTATTTTTCAGATTTCAAGGTTGACTTCTGTGCCTTGCTTTGCAGATTAACATGCTTTATTTGATTGCATAGAAGTTAACTTTTCGTAAAAAGGCCTTAATTATAGTATCATTATTGGTAAATTCAATGCTTAAACAGATTGGTGAAATGTTTGACCTTAACTACTGAATTCTGCTAATTATATGGGATATGTCCATAATTTAAATTTTCTCATAGTACTCATAGATCAGTTGGAACAAAATGTGAAATGAATTTATTAAAGAGTATGTCATTTGCTGTATTTATAAATTTCCAGCCATGCATATCATTTAATAATTATTTATTTTTAGGATAAAAAAAAGTAGTAGCAGATGGTCCTACCAATTTGAATAAATATGGAATTTAGTTTTTAATAGTTTTATTTATTTCATGTAATTTATGGTATTAAAGTATAAAGGCTATGCTCGTGGATTTTCTAGTAAAGGCAAGTTTCCAATCAGTAGCAGTTTTTAGTGGTTGAGCTATGTATCCAGCATTTTTTTACTATGAAGACTAATCATACTAAAAAAATTTGAGCATTTTTTTCAAGTAAAAATTAGTATTGTTACGAATTTGGTATTTAAAAAGCTAATGTTAGTTCAATTATAAATTAAATGGTTTTATTTCTCGCGCAGTGCAGCGCGTGACGAATATTAAAAGAAAGCTAAGCCGGAAAAAATTAAAATACAAGCGCGTGCGTTAAATAAATAAATATCTCTCTTTTTGATTTCGAGAAAGTACTGGAAAATTCTAGCGCGTGATTTTAAAATCTTATAAAAGGAGGAAAACATCTCAGTTTGTAGTAGTTGCTTAGTTTGTTGTTGTTTAGAAAACTACTGTTGTTGATTGTAGCGAATTCGCGGATTAGCGTTCTTTAGCTGTTTTGAATTACGTTCTATTGGACATTTGAGTAGTTAAAAGAAAACTACTGTGAGATATTGTAATACTGCGTGATAATTTGAGAAAATTTAAGCATTTTTGTTGTGATAATAATAAATTTTTTGTTCATTTTTCATCGGACTTGTGCATTCATTTCATAACGAACCCGTACGCACGCAACAATTTTTGGTGTCAGGAGTGGGATTTGAATGCCAATAACAAGAGCGATGGAAGAGCAGTTAAGGCAATTGATAACAGCCTTTGCTCGTTTAAAGAAGAAATGAAAGAAGAGATGAAATCTAGCCAAGGAAAGATGGAAGGGGCCGTCAACTCTGTTAAGGACGAAATGAAAGCCGTTTCAAGCTGGTCAAGAAAAGATTGAAGCAGGTCAAGAAGAAATGAAAAGAGAGATTACCCTGCATAATAGAAAATAAATTTGAAGCTATGGAAGGCAGAATTGACACAGTTGAAAATAAAGTTGGACTAATTGAAGAAAGTTTCTTCGGTGAAAGAAGAAATAGAAAGAATTTCTTCTGTAAAAGAACATATAGAAGGGAGAGTTTCTGCTGTGGAGGAACGAATTGAAAAGAGTTTGTGCCGTCCAACCCAAATCGAACAACAAATTGATGATGAGAGTTTCTGAAGTTGCCAAAGAAATGGATACTTTTAAAGAAATTCGTAGCGTCGGCAGGGAGCAGGAGTGATGATTTTAAATTCTTACCAATGCCTGCTCGTCCACCTCTGAAGCTATCCACATATGATTGGGAAGACCTCCTGGCAGGTGTATAAGACACATTTCTATCGTGGCGGATGCGAATGGATGGGATTCCCAGCTAAGGCCTGTCATCTCGCCGCTTCTCTAAGAGCCGACGCAGCGGATATCCTTCAGACTCTTCCCGAAAACAAAAGGTTAGATTTCGAAGCTCTGTCCGGCACCTTGGAGTTGAGCTTTGGGGAGAAGTGTTTAAAAGACTACAGCAGGCTCCAATTAAAATCTCGTCAACAGAAGCCTACCGAAACACTTCAGGAGCTCGCCGCGGATGTTGAAAGGCTGTCCCATCTCGCCTTTTCGGAATGCCCGACAGAAACAAGGGAAATCCTGTCCTTGCAATACTTTATCGACGGCATCCGAGATACTGAAATACAGAAAGCTCTACGAATGGCGGATGTTAAAGATCTGAAAAGCGCTTTAGTGTATGCCATGAAATTTGAGGCAGCCCAGCAAGCAACTCTTAGGGATAGCTACCCAGTCAAAGCTGTGCGAGTCCACGACCCAGGGGACCAATTGATGGCTCATCTAGATGATTTATCCAGACAAGTCGATGCTTTGATACGGAGTAGCAGTGAGAACAAAGTGGCTGTAAGATGCTGGAGATGTGGTTCTGAAGGTCACCTACGACGGCATTGCAGAACACCCCAGGGCATGGATAATAAAACAGATGAGTTGACAAGACCAGTGAATGCTTTAAGATGGAATAGTGTGAAAACAAAACCGACCCTAAAGTGCTGGAATGCAGTGTGAAGGCCCCACCTACGAAGGAACTGCAGAACTCCCAGAGCACGGAAAATAAGGCATACGATTTTAAAAGACAATTAAATGCCACGGGAAGGAAAAGGACTGACAAGAAACCAAGTGCTGGAACTGTGGAGCTGAAGGCACGTACGAAAGAATTGCAGAACACCCCAGGGTACGAAAATTGAGACAATTTCTGAGCAACGACGCGGAACCAATTAATGACCATATCAAGGAACGGAGGTTGCCAGATAATGAAAAACCCTGTTTTAAAGCGCTTAAGATCTCTATAGTGAGTGGCAACAATAACGGACTGTCCATCAATGGGAATAGCGATGGAGTTACTTGCAATATGATCATTGACACAGGAGCTAATGTTACCATCATCAGGAAAGATTTAGCTGAACAGTTTAAAGATAAACTTATTTGGACGCCATCTGTGTTACCCTTCAGA